CATGAGACGCTCTCACATGGTCATCAGGTCTTCTACCAGGACAGAATCACCCGGTCTATGAATGATCCTTTTACTGAGTCTGCTATATGCTTTGGGCATTCATCCTTGTGTGTTACTTCCTTACAAAAAATTATCATCTGATAAGAGTTGAAAAATACTTTCTGGAGCATATTGAAAACTCTGAAGGTAGGAGCAACTATATAGTCTAAGGATTAACATGAGAGGCAAACTTATTTAATTTATCTTTGAGAACAGGACCAGAGATTGTTTTTCAGACTCTTGCTTGAATTCAAGGAACTGACAAAGATAATCAATGGAAATGATCTTAAGAAGGACAGAAAGAGTAGCGTGGTAGGTAAAAGATATGTGTAATATTTTTATGTAATTGTAAAATTTTGTCTGGCAGTTTCACAAGTCTTACTAGGTTCATATTATATATTTTCACTTGACCAATGAGTAAACTGAGTCAAAGATAATCTGTCTCAAAATAAATTAACAAAATTATAAGGAAATCACAGGATCAAAACCATGACACATCTGCTTATTCAATGAAGGTTTCTTTTCCTCACTTCTGTTTTTCTTAGTCTTTTGTTTTTAATTCTATTAAATTTATTGGGGTGCCATTGGTTAATAAAATTATGCAGGTTTCAAGTGTACAGTTTCATAATATATCATCTGTATATTGCATTGTGAATTCAACACCCAAAGTCAAAACCCCTTCTGTCACCATATATTTGACCTCTTTACCCTTTTCTACCCACCCGCTTTCCCTCTGGTAACCACTAAACTGTTGTCTGTGTCTATGAGTTTTTATCCCAATCACTTTTTATCTCTTCTATTTTCTACTCTACCTAGTTTGGGATATTTTGCCAATTATTTATCTCCTATATAGCTTATACAATTTATCATTGTACAATTTTTCATAACTGCTTCTTAGCTTATTCTTTTTCTTCATCACATTTTATTTTCTATTTGTGTTTTCATACTGTTTTGAAAATTTTTGAAAATACACGTCTTAAATTTCTGCAGTGTTTTCATATAAAACATATTGGGATTTTTGTTCTCATATCATTCCCTATATAAAAACATTGTAGTTCTTTCTTGCCTATAATTCTTCTTCCCTTCCCTCAATTTGACCAGACTTGAAAGACTTGAATATGTGCCATTTTCTATAATTTAGGAACATTTCTCTATTTAAAAATCATACAAGAAGTTGAGAATAATGCAGTGATTCTAAAACATGTCCATTTTACTCACTTGCCCCCTCCTACCTCCCACCTACCCTTTCTTTAATAGCTATCTATTTTGGATACCTTTGTCGCCTGACCCCTAGAGGTTGTGATTTGGTCTGCTTAGGGTGGACTTCTGGACTTTTATCTTTTGAAACAGCTCCCTAGGGGAGTCTGATGTGTAGTGCTTATTAAGAATGATGCTTTAATATTGTAATCTAAACACAATAAGCTTTCTAACTATGATAAATAATCCAGTAGATTTAATTATGATTTTCTTTCTGTCTGAAACTTAGATGTTAATTGCCAGAGAAATAGATATGGATGCCTATGAAAACGGAACATTAATATGACATCAAAGCTTGGAAATTTCACCAGTAGTGATAAATTTAGTACTTCAAATATTTAAATGCTTTAGAATTAAAATTAATTCATTTTTCACTAAGTGAATAAAGTTGATTGAGGTTTTACATTTAATTTCGTGAGTCAAATTTTATCTTCTTTGGGTTCAGAGGCTGTCTGTAAAACACCATGTATACATTTTTACTTCCTGTTTTGATTCATTATTTTGCTGTCTTATGCTTTGTTACTGAAAACACTCCTCAAGTAGATCATACACTGTAAATACTTCTGATTACAAAATCTTCTCACACAAATGCAATAGACTATTTAATGAGCTCTTCTTCACAAAATTAAAAAAAAAATCTGAAGACCCTGATTTGAGACTTCATATAAATGAAATTTAGATCTAACAATTTTAAAGCATTGCTTCATTCTTAGCAATTCAATTCTATCTCTTATCTGAGAAATAGAAATAATAAAACCTTTGTCTATTTTACAGTCGGGTTGTAAAAGTCACTGTAGACATCAGCCTTGAAGTAGAAGGGCCAAAATCAAAAATACAAAGCAAAGGAGCTAAGATAAAAATTCTGAAGCAGCTTTAGTTTATAGCAATGTAAACCAGCAACAGGAATTCTTTGATTACTTAACAAAGATTCAGAAGGCATTTACTCTATCATCTTACTACTACTCAATGTGTTGTTCCTGAATCTGCATTATCAGCATCCCCTTGAAGTTTGTTAGAAGTAGAGAATTTGGGGCCGTCCACAGACCTATTTAATCAGAATTAATAGTTTACCAAGATCCCTAGGTGATTTTTGTACATGTTCAAGTTTGAGATGCACCACTATAGCATATACCTAATAGATGTACCATGTATTTTAATAGTTCTGGGTATTGGACACCAGTGAGGGTACAAATTAGTCATAATTTTTTTCCTCTAACTGCTTCTCTGACCTTTGTTTTAGGCAAAGATTTCCCACTTCAGCAGTCATTCATGATTGCATGATCTAGCTAGTTTCAAACCCTATTGATTCTACCTTAATAGTTTATGTTACCTCCAGCCTTTCCTTCCTGGTAGACTGTAAAAACTCTAGTTGTAGCCCCAGTTCCTATCTCTCAGACTCCTATCCTAGTTGTTTTACCTGTGTCCCTGTCTTAACATTAACCTAAACTCTGCCTCATAATTATATAGAAGCAGAGCTTTAGCTCTGACACTCCTGTGCTTAAAACTGAAGTTATTTTCTGTTGCCTCCCGATGAATTGAAACTTTCTTAAAAAACAAAAAGTCCTCTCTGCTCCAACCCAATATACACCCTGGGCTGAACCCTTCCCTAAACTACCATTTTTATACAGTGACATAGAGCCCAAGTGCGTACTCCTAATCAGAACATGGAAATTGCACATTATACGCCTTACCTTCTGCCATCTCCTCTCCCTCTTGACCTTTCATGTGCCCATGGCCTACCCATTCATTAAATTCCAAATTGCCCCCAGAGGTCTCTCTTGTTCATCTTTCCCTGAGATCATCCCTCTTCTCATCTGTCATATATTGAACACCTTGCTTTCTCTATCCTACTGTATATAGGTGGTATAACAAATTAGCCCCTGCAGCAGTGTTTATGTACTGCCTAAAACCTAGAAAATTGTACTTATCTTTTTTTAATCTTTAGGATACCCAATGATAAGTATTAGTACTAATGATACCATGGCAATAATGAGACTGAACTTCTTCAATCTTCCCTCCTCTTCTTCTCCTCAACTTTCTTTGAATATAGACTCACGCATTCACTCAACAGATACTTATTGAAATCTCTCATCCACCAAATATTGATTATACTAAGCATTAGTCCTACTCAGTGATGAATAGGTCATAGTCCCTAACCTCAAGGAATTTATAGTATAGCAGGAATATAGACACAGTTTGTTATGAATGGGTATACCTGTTACTAAAAATGACTGACTTATGAAACAATGATCTGAATAGGTGGTAAAGAGTGAGGTGTAAGTAATGGAGCAAAGTCAACTAACTAGTTGGAAGGAAATATCACATGTTTACTAGAGCATATATCATGCATATTTAAGAGCATATGGTCAAGAAAGCTTAACTGCATAGTTTCATATTTATTGCAAGGTACCGTGTCCCTGGAATAATGGCTTGTTATCTTTTTTTTTTTTTTTTTTTTGCTGATTTATGGAGTCTTTTAACTGCTAAAGTTATACTACCAAAAGTTCTAGTATTCAAAATATTACATAATAGTAGTTTAAAAATACCAAGAAGTTTACGTGAAATCAGAGTTTAAAAGAGATTTGACCTAGTCTCAGAAGACATACATTCATTCCTTTATTTGGCAAGCATGTTCTGAGATTTACTGTGTACTTGATATTGGGTCAAGGGACAGAGGAATAGATAATTAGATAATGAGAATCACATTTATCAGGAAAGTATTTTGCATACTGACTTTATCCCATTAATACATAAAGATTTGTGAGTCCTTTAGATTTAAATATGGTAGGTATCTCAAGTTCTCATATTACTTCATTTTTTAAACTTCAGATTTAGGAATGGGTTATTGCCTTAAAAACTCTAGTTTAACCTTTTTATAAAAAAAAAGGAGAGTGCCATTTTTATTAAATGATCAAAAGCGTTTTTGTTTTTATGTTTATTTGCTTTTAATAATCTCTTTTTTAACGGAACTGTTTTTACATTCTTCTCTTAAAATTTAATTTAGGATAAAAAGTAGAAGATATTTAAGTTTGACATCATCAATGAATAACTCATGAAAAGGTTCTGGTGGCTATAGATTATTTGTTAAATTTATTGCTGTACTTTAGGGATTTCTTGATAAGCTGCCCCTAATAGCAATTATTTCTCAGTTTTATAATGCAAAATACATTGATGGAAACAGAATTTGAAAGAAATTTTCTTCAAGTATAGTAATGAATTTTTAAGTATGTCTAGAGGTGTTTTCCTTAATATTGTGAGTAAACTATGTATGTTCTTTTTCGCCTCTCATATCAACTGTCATTAGAAATCCAAATACTTTATTCACATTTAAATTTTACAGAACTTCATAGACTATTAAACATTGAGCATCCTTGTGGGGACAAGAAATCGAATTTGCTCTTGAGAAGGTTTCCAGCTAATTGATTTGTAGGACATTATAACATCCTCTAGCTGACAAGCTTTACAAATATAAAAAACTAGAGCTGAACTGAGAGAGTTCTTTTTTTACTGACACATAAAAGGTGTCTTTCTGTCTTGTTTCCTTTGGATATAGGCATGTCAATTTCATAGAGAAACTTTCACATGGAGCTTTTTTATTTCTTTCTCTCCCAGCAGAACAGCATGTGGTAGCACATTGTTTAATCTTTTCCCAAGTAAAAGGACATGGGGCTTCATTTTTGTTTTGCTTTTTTGGTATCTTACAGGAGCTCCAGGATGGCGCTGGGCAGCGGCAAATTGTTGTCAGAGTATTGAATGCAACTGGGGAAGAGATAATTCAACAATCCTCAAAAACAGATGCCAGTATTCTACAAGAAAAATTGGGAAGCCTGAATCTGCGGTGGCAGGAGGTCTGCAAACAGCTGGCAGAAAGAAAAAAGAGGTAAGGTGACAGATGAAATAGGAATTCTAAAATTTAGCAAAACTATTTAAACTGTCCTTTAAAAAAAATTTTATGAAACATTATAACCAAGAGCGAAGACACTAACATTAAGGAAACCGTCAGCAGTTAATCGATAGCAATAATGAATTTTTTCTTCCTTTTTCTCATATACGGAAATGTATAGCTGTTGCTACTTAAGTAGGCAGTGCTTTTCTACTATTTTAAACTTTTGTTTGTTTTAAAAATCACATGATTATTTAAATATAACTGTCTTCATTACATTCCAACTTTAACACACTGAGTCTCAATTATTTTTTTAAAGATGAGAAAAGGAAATTATAAAGGACTATTTTGTAGGAAAGACTGCTCCTTGGCTAGATTTTTTAACAATTACAAATGTGACCGCGATGCTGAAAAACATGATAGTAATGTTTACCTGATAGTTCTACTGCATTTGTTAGTACATTCTTGAAGAGGGACTTGGGCCAAAAATGTTCAAATCTAAAGGGGAAAACAAAATCGCAGAAAGGTTATTGTTGAATTCAATCATCATTTAACTTTCTCTTGGAATGCATTGAAAATACAGAAAGCCAAATATCTGCTGCTGCAGTTGGAAGGCATAGATATTTTTATAAATGGGATTTTCTTTTACGCTTCCAGTTGTTGGTGCTAATGTTTCCTGTTTCATAAGGGAGAACTTGGCCAGCCTTTATTTACCAAATGAGACTATTGTTGTAAACAATGAAAACTCAGTTTTATTGCCAAGCTCTTGCTTCCTACCTATTATCTACATAATAAGTGGATTTTAATATTCAGAAAGCTAAAACAACTCTTTGATGAATGTCTTTGGTGAGGATGTATTAGACAGGTTTTGGAATTATGCCCATTGTCTTTGTACACCTCCTCTTGAGCCTTTGCTCATGTTGCATTATTCAGAAAGTAGATAAAATTCATATTCCTGTACAAAATGGATGCATTG